GGAAAAAAAAACTGGCAGGAAATGGCAGAAATCGTACACCAAATCCAGTCATTCCTGGAGTGGAACCAGTCGATGGCCTCCACTCCAAACGAACAGATACAGATACTAATACCGGAAAAAAAATCCCCCCCCCCCAGTACCAACAATACCACCAGTCCGATGACATTCTTCTTGAAGAATTGAGACACTTATGCAACACATGGGAATCTTTATTGAAGAAACGTTTCGCCACACAATGGCTTCATCAGTCCAATACAAAGTAGAAGTGGGTAAGGAGAGTAGAAGTTTGAGGTAATCAGTCCCTCAACCTGGAATCGATGTGTTCAGTCCATCACTCTTGTAGAAAGTGCAGCATAGGGCCAGAGAGGTGGCTTATATACTGTGGTGAGATGAGTTGAAGCAGGAGGAGGCGGGATCACAGTGGGACCTGCCACTAGTGTAAGTAGGTCGTCGTCCAAAGGTTGGGCAAGCGTTGAAGTCTTTGTACCAAGACCCCATGATGTTGCAGTGTCTGACAAATGTGATGAATGGTTATGAAAACCGACAAGTTGAAGAATTGAGACACTTATGCAACACATGGGAATCTTTACCACACCGCAGTATATAAGCAACCTCTCTGGCCCTATGCTGCACTTCCTACAAGAGTGATGGACTGAACACATCGATTCCAGGTTGAGGGACTGATTACCTCAAACTTCTACTCTCCTTACCCACTTCTACTTTGTATTGGACTGATGAAGCCACTGTGTGGCGAAACGTTTCTTCAATAGAGATTCCCATGTGTTGCATAAGTGTCTCAATTCTTCAACTTGTCGGTTTTCATAACCATTCATGACATTCTTCTTTGCAAATATACAGGGTCTAAAGCCAGCAACAAACAAAATACCTTTCATCCGTGGACTGCTTGCAGAGGCAAAGGCAATGTTCGCGGCTTTCACTGAGACCCACATAAAGGATCACTTGGACAACGAAATATGGATCCCAGGTTACAACCTATACAGATGGGACAGAGTGAACAGGCAAAAAAAAGGGGGGGGGGGCTGGCCTGTACATTGCAGAGTCACTTGTTTGCACAGAACTGCTTAATGCCTCAAATGATGTAGTGGAAGTTTTAGCAGTAAAGGTCGAGAACCAAAACCTAGTCATTGTGGTAGTCTACAAGCTTCCGGATGCAACATCCCAGCAATTCCAGGAACAGCTGTTAAAAATTGACCACTGTCTGGAAAACCTTCCAGCTCCTGCACCCAACATCTTGCTCCTGGGGGATTTCAACTTAAGGCACCTAAAATGGAGGAATATAGCAAATAATATTGTTGCAGTAATAACACCAGGAGGCAGCTCTGATGAAAACTGACACGAGCTTTTAAATCTCTGCACAAAATTCAATTTAAACCAGCAAATAATAGAGCCTACTAGACTGGAGAATACACTAGACCTCATCTTCACTAACAATGATGATCTGATAAGAAATGTCACCATATCAAAAACAATATACTCAGATCACAACATAATTGAGGTTCAGACATGTATGCGCGGAGCCCCAGACCGACATAATGAGATTAGTTACGAGGAAGCATTCACCAAATTCAACTTCAATAACAAAAACAAAGTGGGACCAAGTAAACCAAGTCCTAACCGATATAAGCTGGGAAGATATACTAAGCAACACAGACCCCAACTTATGCCTAGAACAGATTAACTTGGTGGCACTCGATGTATGCACAAGGCTTATTCCTCTAAGAAAAAGGAGGAGTAGATGTAAAATAGAAAGAGACAGGCGCTCCCTTTACAGACGACGGAAAAGAATAACAGAGCGGCTAAAAGAGGTCAATATATCTGAAATGCGTAGGGAGACACTGGTCAGAGAAATAGCAAACATCGAACTTAAGCTAAAGGAATCTTATAGGAGTCAGGAATCGTGGGAAGAACTAAAAGCCATAAGTGAAATCGAAAGAAACCCAAAGTATTTCTTCTCCTATGCCAAATCAAAGTCGAGAACAACGTCCAGTATTGGGCCCCTACTTAAACAAGATGGGTCCTACACAGATGACAGCAAGGAAATGAGTGAGCTACTCAAGTCCCAATATGACTCAGTTTTTAGCAAGCCGCTAACCAGAGTCGAAGATCAAAATGAATTTTTTATGAGCCCAGAATTTGGTTAACACAAGCCTATCTGATGTTATCCTGACGCCAAATGACTTCGAACAGGCGATAAATGACATGCCCATGCACTCTGCCCCCAGGGCCAGACTCATGGAACTCCGTGTTCATCAAGAACTGCAAGAAGCCCCTATCACGAGCTTTTACCATCCTATGGAGAGGGAGCATGGACACGGGGGTCGTCCCACAGTTACTAAAAACAACAGACATAGCCCCACTCCACAAAGGGGGCAGTAAAGCAACAGCAAAGAACTACAGACCGATAGCACTAACATCCCATATCATAAAAATCTTTGAAAGGGTCCTAAGAAGCAAGATCACCACCCATCTAGAAACCCATCAGTTACACAACCCAGGGCAACATGGGTTTAGAACAGGTCGCTCCTGTCTGTCTTAACTACTGGATCACTACGACAAGGTCCTAGATGCACTAGAAGACAAAACGAATGCAGATGTAATATATACAGACTTTGCAAAAGCCTTCGACAAGTGTGACCATGGCGTAATAGCGCACAAAATGCGTGCTAAAGGAATAACAGGAAAAGTCGGTAGATGGATCTATAATTTCCTCACTAACAGAACACAGAGTAGTAGTAGTCAACAGAGTAAAGTCCGAGGCAGCTACGGTGAAAAGCTCTGTTCCACAAGGCACAGTACTCGCTCCCATCTTGTTCCTCATCCTCATATCTGACATAGACAAGGATGTTAGCCACAGCACCGTGTCTTCCTTTGCAGATGACACCCGAATCTGCATTACAGTGTCTTCCATTGCAGACACTGCAAGGCTCCAGGCGGACATCAACCAAATCTTTCAGTGGGCTGCAGAAAACAATATGAAGTTCAACGATGAGAAATTTAAATTACTCAGATATGGTAAACACGAGGAAATTAAATCTTCATCAGAGTACAAAACAAATTCTGGCCACAAAATAGAGCGAAACACCAATGTCAAAGACCTGGGAGTGATCATGTCGGAGGATCTCACCTTCAAGGGCCATAACATTGTATCAATCGCATCTGCTAGAAAAATGACAGGATGGATAATGAGAACCTTCAAAACTAGGGATACCAAGCCCATGATGACACTCTTCAGGTCACTTGTTCTATCTAGGGTGGAATATTGCTGCACACTAACAGCACCTTTCAAGGCAGGTGAAATTGCTGACCTAGAAAATGTACAGAGAACCTTCACGGCGCGCATAACGGAGATAAAACACCTCAATTACTGGGAGCGCTTGAGGTTCCTTAACCTGTATTCCCTGGAACGCAGGCGGGAGAGATACATGATTATATACACCTGGAAAATCCTAGAGGGACTAGTACCGAACTTGCACACGAAAATCACTCACTACGAAAGCAAAAGACTTGGCAGACGATGCAACATCCCCCCAATGAAAAGCAGGGGTGTCACTAGCACGTTAAGAGACCATACAATCAGGGCCGGTTTACCGCATAGGCAAACTAGGCATCTGCCTAGGGCCCCGCGGTCCTGTGAAGGAGAACGTTCATTTTCTGTTTTGAAAAGAGTGAAAAACCAGCTCCGTTCAACAATGAGCCAAGACAAATTGTGTAACCTAGCCTTGTTGACCATTGAGTCAAGAAATATTGATTTTCAGAATATAACTGATGATTTTGCCAATATGAAATCCAGAAAAAAGTTTATTTAAGAAGTGCCTGTGAATATAAACAATTCTTTACTTTCTTGAGTTTATATGATTTGATAGTCTTATGCATGATGCAATGATAACAATAATGGTCAGTGATTTATAAAGGGAATAATAGTGCTGTAGTGGTTATGCTGAATATAATAGGTACATGATGTCACTACTTTAATAGCCTAATCTAGTAATACTATGCTGTCTTGCCCCCCGGGTTTAGCGCTTCCCCCTTGATTATAATAATAATACTATGCTGTCTTGAGTTTATTCTCTTTAAAATGCATGATTTAACAAGATAGTTATAATGGCTGTTGGTAAATGGTTTTGGTTGTCTTGATGTACTTTCCCTATTAAATTTAATCTAAATAGCCAGAATGTATTTAATTAGACCTTAAACAGGCTCACACCGACCCCCCCCCCCAAGCTGGAAGGGGTCGCTTCGCTTACCCGTAACTCAAAGGGGCCCCGCCAATCTGAATAGCCTAGGGCCCGGAGACTTCTTAATCTGGCCCTGCATACAATAAGTGTCAGGGGCCCGAGACTGTTCAACTGCCTCCCAGCATACATAAGGGGGATTACCAACAGACCCCTGGCAGTCTTCAAGCTGGCACTGGACAAGCACCTAAAGTCGGTTCCTCATCAGCCGGGCTGTGGCTCGTACGTTGGTTTGCGTGCAGCCAGCAGTAACAGCCTGGTTGATCAGGCTCTGATCCACCAGGAGGCCTGGTCACAGACCGGGCCGTGGGGGCGTTGACCCCCGGAACTCTCTCCAGGTAAACTCCAGGTAAACTGATATTCCTACATTGACAGCCAAGGCTGGAGGTAATATCGTGAATGATGTGACAACTATTTGCGTTGATATGACCTTGTTTATGGTGGAGAGTTTACCAACTCACTATCCACAGCAAAATATTCATATAAGTTGAATAAGTGGAGTTGACACATTTGTTAAAATGAACGAACTGTTGCGAAATATCCATAAAATACAACCATGCATTAATATGTATATGCAGTATACTCATACATAATACATAAATACGTACATTAAAATACATAGGTGCAGAAGACGTATTTAATTAAGCAAGACTACGGAATTGCATACACCTTATTTTCAGCTCTAATACAAATTAACTACACCATTCTGTTTTATGTCACCTGCAACTTGCAGTGATAAGGAATTACCTGACTAAGCTCCTCCTGTTCCTCCTCTTGTACCTCTTCCTGCTTCTCTTGTTCCTTCTCGAGCAGAAGCACAGTTTGAGTGAGATCCTCGTCATTATTGCTGGTTTTCTTGGGACCATAGTCAGTCAGTAATGTTTTCTTTTTCCAAAAGATAACTTTGAGCATTCTCTTCATGTCTGGTCACACTTGGGAGTCCTTAATAGTCAATCACAAGAAAGGAGGTGCAGCTTCGTGTCTATTATCTGTGTCAAGGTGAGTATCTGTGTCAAAGTGGAGCATTGCGAGAAGTCACGGTGCTCGATGAATGGTGGTTTGTAGACTGCACGAAGATCATTAAGGCTGCATGTCACTTGTTCACCACCAGTTAAAAAGTACTTTAATACATAAAGTAGGGATCAAATTAGAGATTCAGCAAATCTACAGTGAGAGAAAATTCACGGAGTATGTATGTTTGTCAGGTCGTGATACTGAACGATAACCTTATGTATGCATAAACACACGCATGTGTCCCCTCACAAACACGCACACACACACACACACACACACACACACACACACACACACACACACACACACACACACACACACACACACACACACAAAGCTATGACTCGACCCTGCAACCACATACAGGTGAGTATTACACACACACACACACACACACACACGCACAACACCCCCCTTACACACACCACACACACACACACCCTTACACACACACACACACACACCCCACACACCCACACACACAACACACACCCCCCTTACAACACACACACACAACACCCCCCTTACACACACACACACACACACACACACACACACACACACCCCCTTACACACACACACAACACCCCTTACACACACCAACACCCCCCTTACACACACAACACAACACCCTTACACACACAACACCCCCCTTACACACACACACACAACACCCCCCTTACACACACACACACACACACACAACACCCCCTTACACAACACCCCCCTTACACACACAACACCCCCCTTACACACACACACACACACACAACACCCCCTTACACACACACACACACACAACACCCCCTTACACACACCCCTACACACACAAGCCACCTTCACACAAACACGACCTCCCCACATACAAACACGACCTCCCCACATACAAACACGACCTCCCCCGCATACAAACACGACCTCCCCCACATACAAACACGACCTCCCCCACATACAAACACCGCACCCACACACACCATGAGACCAGAAGCAGCTACTTACATCAGAACACATGTCACTGGACCTGACAGCATATCACCTTGGGTACTGAAAGTAGTGAGAATAGTGTGTGAACCTTTAACGAAGATCAACAACACGTCACTAGACACACCACTACCACACAGCTGGAAAACTGCAAATATGAACCTTATGTATATGAGTAATACGAGGTACTCAACTACATGCCAGTATTAGTGACAGACATACTCTCTAAATTGCAGGAAAAGATATACCCGTAGGGGTCATATACCTCCTGCGGCAATGTAAGAAAAGAAAAAAAAACTAAAGAGTCTGCATCTGTGTGAGGCTTCACCTCCCTCCCCCCCTTCCCCAGCTGTCGCCAGGCTTGATAATGAGGCTGTTATCGTTCTTAATTATTACAAACAGGGAGATCGTTAAACACGTAGGGATTATACAGCGCCTGGGGGAGATGGAAGGTATACAGACAATTCAGGGAACTGGAGAACAGATCCAATTCCTTAGATCAAGAGATCCCTCAATAGCATCAAGGAACCTCCCTTGAGGGGTACCCTTCTTAATAACCCTGCCTCGGTGGGAGACGGCCGACTTGTTGAAAAAAAAAAAAGTAATTAAATCTTATGTATCATTGTTTGCTGATGGCGTAAAGTTAATTAGATAATTAGAGGTGATAGAGACCGGCTAAAAGACTACTAGTCCAACAATCACTTAAGAGTTCAACCCAAACCAATGCAAAATCATGCAACTCGAGGATAAAGAAGACCTGAAACGGAGTATAGATGGGAGACAGGAACAATACGAGGATCTGGGAGTATTATTGCAACATTCACACGGAAGCGCTAAATCCGTAAGGGTCACAGAGCGCCCAGGTAACACAAGCTAATCAAATTTTATCCAGACATGATCCAAATTCCTGATCTTAAAACTCATTCATCAGTGATTCTCCACTTGAAGAAGAAAAGAGAAATAACAAATTGCGATAAACACCATTTAAGAGAGATAAATTAGATAAACTTACGGATATATTCAGCCTCTGGGGCATTAAGAGAACTTTTAGTAGACTTTGGAGTTATAATTTTGGAGATTTGAGTTGGTGAGGCATTGTCAGGGAGTTGATTTACAGCCTCAGCTCACTAATTTGATGAGTTTGTGTCTTACAAAGGGATTAACCTGGGAACCACCACTACACACGAGGCTTTACTGAAGATTTACACCACTGGAGGGAAGCAATAATGAGTAAGAATTTTAAGAGACAAATACGAGGTCAAGTGAGATATATCTGGGAGGATTTAGTGGCTAACAGATCAAGTTAACACGGTACATCACATGACAGTTAACACGGTACACTCACGTGACAGTTAACACGGTACACTCACGTGACAGTTAACACGGTACACTCACATGACAATTAACACGGTACTCACATGACAGTTAACACGGTACACTCACATGACAGTTAACACGGTACACTCACATGACAGTTAACACGGTACACTCACATGACAATTAACACGGTACACTCATATGACAGTTAACACGGTACACTCACATGACAGTTAACACGGTACACACACATACAACAGTTAACACGGTACACTCACATACAGTTAACACGGTACACTTATGAATACACGGTACAGTATGACAGTTAACATCGGTATCACTACAGTGTAACACGGTACACTACAATGAGTTAACACGGTACACTACATGACAGTTAACACGGTACACTCACTGCAGTTTAACACGTACATCAATACAGTTACGACGGTACACTCACATGAGTTAAACGGCACTAAACTAGTTAAAAGTATATCTACAGGATACAGTTACATGGTATACCTACAGTGTAACACGGTAGTACTTACAGATGATAATACGGTATACTTACAGATGACAGTAGACACGGTACTCACCACGTGTTACAAAGTAATCTACTGATGACACATACTGAGTAACGGTTATACTACAGGATACTACGATTACAGTTAACGGTAGACCTACAATATATATACCCGGGTAGACACATGCTCCTCACAGATACCAGACTGGTTGACTCAGCGCTGGTTGCTGGTTTTCTGTGACTCTCTCACCTAGTTGTGGGTTGCAGGGTCGATTCATAGCTCTGGCCGCTCTCCGCTGTGTCTCTGAAGAAGCTGAAGTGGAATAATAAACGTCCAAGAAAGGGGAGGTTACCTCCAGTTCCTTGGATCAGAAGTCCTTTCATTATTTTTTTAAAAGATAATTAGAAAAAAGGATTTTAGAACAAACAAATTTTTGGAAATTATTTTTATTACGATCTGTACATTGTGGCCTCCAGGACCCCGGCTTCCAGGACCCGGCTTCCAGGACCCCGGCTTCCAGGACCCCGGCTTCCAGGACAGGCTTCAGGACCCGGCTTCCAGGACCCGGCTTCCGGACCGGCTTCCAGGACCCCGGCTTCCAGGACCCGGCTTCCAGGACCCCGGCTTCCAGGACCCCGGCTTCCAGGACCCCGGCTTCCAGGACCCCGGCTTCCAGGACCCCGGCTTCCAGGACCCGGCTTCCAGGACCCGGCTTCCAGGACCCCGGCTTCCAGGACCCCGGCTTCCAGGACCCGGCTTCCAGGACCCGGCTTCCAGGACCCCGGCTTCCAGGACCCCGGCTTCCAGGACCCCGGCTTTCAGGACCCGGCTTCCCGGACCCCGGCTTCCAGGACCCCGGCTTCCAGGACCCCGGCTTCCAGGACCCGGCTTCCAGGACCCTGATCTCCAGGATTTTGGCCTCCAGGACCCTGGCCTCCAGGATCTTGGCTTCCAGGATCTTGGCTTCCAGGATCTTGACCTCCAGGACCCTGCCTCCAGGACCCTGGCCTCCAGGATCTTGACTTCCAGGATCTTGGCCTCCAGGATCTTGACCTCCAGGACCCTGCCTCCAGGACCCGGCTTCCAGGACCTGGTTCCATGACCTGGCCTCCAGACCCTGGTCTCCAGACCCCTGGCCTCCAGGATCTTGGCCTCCAGGACCCTGGCCTCCAGGACTCGGCTTCCAGGACCTGGTTCCCAGGATCCTGGTCTCCAGGACTTGGCCTCCAGACCCTGGCCTCCAGGATCTTGACTTCCAGGATCTTGGCCTCCAGGATCTTGACCTCCAGGACCCTGCCTCCAGGACCCGGCTTCCAGGACCTGGTTCCCATGACCTGGCCTCCAGACCCTGGTCTCCAGAACCCTGGCCTCCAGGATCTTGGCCTCCAGGACCCTGGCCTCCAGGACTTGGCTTCCAGGACCTGGTTCCCAGGATCCTGGTCTCCAGGACTTGGCCTCCAGACCCTGGCCTCCAGCACCACACGAAGAACACTGAGAAACAACTCATTAATATTCGCTCAAGACACTACTGAAGAAAAAATCTACAATAAATTATAAAAAATGCATCATTAATATATTAGGAGAATTTGAATATACATAAAAGAAGCTCTACCCGAGACTTACAACTAACACATGTGAGGGAGACAACATATGAGAGGAGACAACATATGTGGGACAATCTACAGCATTCATTAATTCACTCAGAACTAACGAACAATTTCGAGCGGAAGTTCTAGGTGACGTTTCAGTCTGTTTCGAACTATCGTCATGAAGGGACTGAAACCTCGTCTAGGGGGGTCTCCAAATTGTGGGTTAGCTGTGAGTTTTTCCAGTTTTATCACATTTTAAAATCATTTTCTTGACACATTGTTCATGTTGATACAAATTATCTCACCATTATTCCATTTATCTTAAATATCATCAGTTGGATGAGCACAGTTGGGTAGCGTGTCCAGTAGACGGAGTATCAAGCCTCCTCAACTCATTGCACTAACCCACACGGGCTTTAATATTGTTAATTAACCAGGGTACAAGGTCACACTAGGGAGGAGGTGCGGGCATATCACCACACACAATATATCACAGGTCAGCTGATGCGGGTAAGGAGCTGAGCAAGGGTAGGGTGATGGGGTATGGGGTATCACTTCCCATTTCTCTTCGCATACACACACATGTGCACCCCGCGTCTCATACACATACACAAACACACACACATACGCATTAGTTAACAAACCAACCTGAGTAAGCATTTTCTTTAGCCTTGAACATATATCAGTGAATATGACTGTTTCATTAGTGTTCACTGTTATCTGCCTTATTTTTAATGTTCAACCTTCACTTTTACAGTAACAACGCTTATAAATAAGGAACAACAATAAACCTCCTTTCATCTATCTAGTACACGTCACAACCCCACATTCATCACTAGTACACGTCATCAATCCCCCCTTTCATCACTAGTACAAGTCAACAACCCCATTCATCACTAGTACAGGTCAACAACCCCCCATTCATCACTCTAGTGCACGTCAACAACCCCTATTCATTCTCGTACACGTCAACAACCCCCATTCATCATTCTAGTACAAGCCAACAGCCTCCCATTCATCACTAGTACAGGTCAACCCCCATTCATTACTAGTACACGTCAATAACCCCCATTCATCATTAATACAGGTCAACAACCACCATTCATTACTAGTACAGGTCAACAACCACCATTCATCACTAGTACACGTCAACAACCACCATTCATCACTAGTACACGTCAACAACCACCATTCATCACTAGTACACGTCAACAACCACCATTCATCACTAGTACACGTCAACAACCACCATTCATCACTAGTACACAGAAAACATGCCTATTCATCCTGCTGAGACAAAAACACCATTGATCATCCCTAGACAATAACAGCAGCTACAAACTACAGTATACAAGAAAACATCAAAATAATGCCTATTGTAGAGGAGAAAACAATGAGTAATCTCCTTATGACAGCTGGTTAATGAGGTTTAAAGCCTATCGACTACACTATGGTCATTAAGGCTACACGGAACCTGTTCACCAGCAGACAAGAATACTCGAACCCCTAAAATAGGGGTTAAAATATACTGTCAGCATATATACGCTGAGATAAATACATCTCTCCAGTGTATATATCCTGAGTATAACAGCTCTGAGGAGATCAATTAACAGAAATAATAAATAATAAAAGACTTATTGAACTAAAATATGCATCCGTAAATAAATGTACACAAACACACACACACAATAATAATTTAAAAAAACAATTAAGAAATTATTTTATTTACGGAGGAATAAGCTTCATTTCGTTCACAATAAATAACTAATAATTGCCTCATTACTTAGGAAATAATAGTATTGGATCTATAACAGTTATACAACTGCAAGATTATACTTTTTCTATAACAACATTGCCCCAAAAAGGTCATTTAAAACGGTCAATTTATAACAAAATGCAATTATCTCTGGAGAAGCAAAATTACATAGTAACAATTTAACCTTTCTGTTTAACTCGTTTCTTCCTAAAGATAATTGCATATGATAGCAACAACAACCATTAAAAAATATATAACAATTTAATAATAATAACGATATAATTACAATTTTCAAAATACGATAATCTTCTCGATCCACTCCCTAAATTCGGATATTCTGGTATAAACGCCAGGTTGGTTGGGCAGAGCGCATCCAATACCCCAAGAGATGACTCCAGCCAGGTTCCAAACACCATTCCTCTGGATCACCAGGGGTCCTCCTGAGTCTCCCTGCAGACAAACAATATTTTTTGAGGTTTTCCAAGAATTTATAGGTTTCTAATTTTTTAAGGTAACTCTGAAGATATTGTTGGTTAAACGGCATTGATTTGGGAGTACAAGTGCCTAATTTTGAAGATTTTTTAATGAATTAATGACTAAGATTAGTACTAGTACTAAGGGGTAATAATATAGACATAGGTCTACCCACAAACTGTGAATTAAAAACATATATGCCTGACATAGGACACTGTATTAGAAGACGTTTCGCCTATTGGTGGCTTAATCAGATTGATAAAACCCCAGTGGGCGAAACATTATTCTACACACTAAGATTAATACACTGTAGGGAATTAATTATCTGTTGTTGATGAAGTTCTATATAGGGTTAAATATTTGCTGATGGAATGAGTATTATTCTTGAAGATCATCTAACCCACATGACCTGTGATGTGGTACAAGCTTTATTATGTGCCCCATACCCATCCTGTGGGTGGGTCACACCATACCCATCCTGTGGGTGGGTCACACCATACCCATCCTGTGGGCGGTAGTCACACCATACCCATCCTGTGGGTGGGTCACACCATACCCATCCTGTGGGCGGTAGTCACACCATACCCATCCTGTGGGTGGGTCACACCATACCCATCCTGTGGGCGGTAGTCACACCATACCCATCCTGTGGGTGGTAGTCACCCCATACCCATCCTATGGGCGGTAGTCACACTATACCCATCCTGTGGGTGGTAGTCACACCATACCCATCCTGTGGGCGGCAGTCACACCATACCCATCCTGTGGGTGGTAGTCACACCATACCCATCCTATGGGCGGTAGTCACACTATACCCATCCTGTGGGTGGTAGTCACACCATACCCATCCTGTGGGCGGTAGTCACACTATACCCATCCTGTGGGCGGTAGTCACACCATACCCATCCTATGGGCGGTAGTCACACAATACCCATCCTGTGGGCGGTAGTCACACCATACCCATCCTGTGGGCGGTAGTCACACCATACCCATCCTGTGGGCAGTAGTCACACCATACCCATCCTGTAGGCGGTAGTCACACCATACCCATCCTGTGGGCGGTAGTCACACCATACCCATCCTGTGGGCGGAAATCACACCATACCCATCCTGTAGGCGGTAGTCACACCATACCCATCCTGTGGGCGGTAGTCACACCATACCCATCCTGTGGGCGGTAGTCACACCATACCCATCCTGTGGGCAGTAGTCACACCATACCCATCCTGTAGGCGGTAGTCACACCATACCCATCCTGTGGGCGGTAGTCACACCATACCCATCCTGTGGGCGGAAATCACACCATACCCATCCTGTAGGCGGTAGTCACACCATACCCATCCTGTGGGCGGTAGTCACACCATACCCATCCTGTGGGCGGTAGTCACACCATACCCATCCTGTGGGCGGTAGTCACACCATACCCATCTTAGGCGGTACACCATACCCATCCTGTGGGCGGTAGTCACACCATACCCATCCTGTGGGCGGTAAACACACCATACCCATCCTGTGGGCGGTAGTCACACCATACCCATCCTGTGGGCGGTAGTCACACCATACCCATCCTGTGGGCGGTAGTCACACCATACCCATCCTGTAGGCGGTCACACCATACCCATCCTGTGGGCGGTAGTCACACCATACCCATCCTGTGGGCGGTAGACACACCATACCCATCCTGTGGGCAGTAGTCAAAGGATTACAGAGGTACATAATGGGTCCAGGGACTGAAACCCAAAGTTATGATAGCTAAACAAGGTACAAAGGTAATGAATTCCAGTAGATCTGGTCATAATCATGACCAAGTTACAAGATAATGAACATGCTACAATGTAACGGAATTTTCATGCTAGACAAACACCTATGTTCTGCACTGCAATTATCATCCTTATTTCTCCATGTAAGTGAGAGTCTGAGGCAAAAGTTCTCTCTGACATCTGCTATTGTCTTGGTTTATCCTAGGATAAATCTACTTATTAATGTGCTAACAACATCTATGTACACTTACTGTATAAACTTAAAAACAGTCTGTAAAATTTTGTAATTTCCTAAACAAGACTAAACTCATCTTACCACTTTACAAACACTTACCTCACAAGCATCTTTCTTTCCCTCAGCATATCCCGCACACATCATTATTCTTGGCACCATCACAACCCCACCAGTAAGCAGGAACATCTTTTCACAGTCTACATTCTTTATTACTGGCACCTCCGCCTCCTGCATTCTTGAATGGAGGGGCCCATCTTGAATGAGGTTGTGTTGGGGATGAAGAAGAGAGTGGAACATACACATATTCAGTGAGAAGATGAATGAGCCAGTTACCCCTCGAAAAATCTCGTCAAAGTCAACGAAATCTCAAGAGGAAATAGAGAAAACAGTAAATTGTTTAGGAGTAACTTACCTCACACGAGTCTCTCTTTCCTCTCTCATAGCCAGCGCAAATGAAGATGTTAGGAATGTGTTCGACATATCCAGCTGCCCTGTACATATCCTCACACTCCTTGTTGGTAATGACGGGCACAGGGACCTTCTGCAATACAGATGGCAGAGGACCATCTGTGAGGGGGAGAGGAGGGTCGAAGGCGGATAGAGTTAGTGTGAGCAAGTCTTCAGTACTGAGTCACTAGTACCTGTCGTGATATCAAACAACCATCCTCTCACACACACACCACATAATGTGATCTTGAATTTTGAATAGAATGAACGGGTAAGCCAGCGGAAAGCCTCGGCCACATGACCAACCACATCAGTTTGAGAGTCAAGTAACTCAGACCATTGTCAAGAAACATTAGTCAGGTTTCCTCCGGAATAAACCAACAACCATCATGCTGTCAAGTCAATTTACACTAGAGGCCCTCCTAGTCATTCAAATAACTAACCTGTATGATTTACTACAGACGCGGTGGTTTAGCTTATAAAACTGGAAATCCCTTGTAAATTCTAGTATAATAAACTAGAGCTAAGGATGACCGTGATCTCTAACATGACAGAAAAGAATATTGTTAGCATCAGCAAAGCAAAGATTTATTTTGTGCTCTTCAAGTCTGTCAGAAAAGAGTGGCCAGTTTTACCAAAGTATTGGAGGAGACAGGAGGAACAGGAAATGGAATCTGAACCAGCAGCACAAGTGACAAGAGAAGAAACATGATATAGATTACTATGAAGAAAAAATATCCGGAGAATAGAACGTGTTTGTCAAAATTTTGAAGAATGGAAATGTAGGGAAAGCAAAGAACAGGAGATTTTCCGAATCGAGAACACGAGGATCACATATGCAGAGAACGAAAGAAACAAGAACACTTTTCTTGACAGAGAAAACATGATAGGAAATTAGTGAATGTATATCCTATTGTGCATAGGCTTGCGGTAAACGGAATAAGAAGCCTCTCACAGAACGGTAGACATGAACATCAAGGAAAGGAAACATAGAGTTAAGAGTCTCATTCACCTTTGAACTTGATAGAAAGAGCAGGTTGTTAAGGGCAACAAGAAAAGATTGGAAGAGATTAGTCATGTGGCCATAGAGCGAAAAAATTAATCTACATAGTAAAACCAGAGAGCAGGGGGTACAACCCCCATAGTAAGAAGTAGAATATTTTCCAAAATACTCCATATGAAGGTTACCAAGAACATGGGACAGACGAGAACCCATAGCAACAACAAAGGCTTGAGGATAAAAGTTCCATTGAAAGGAACAAGAGTTAGTACACACAGAGACGAATAAGGTCATGAAAGGCATCAGTGGCTATAAGGAGATGGAGCAGCCATTTACTGACCATCACTCATCAAGATGAACATTAATAAAGACAGATAGAACATCAAGTACTGGTTATTTATATATTTTGCAGTTTTTCCTTTGTAAAAAATCAGAGGTCGCTACATATAGATATCCACTTAGATGTGCTAATTGAAGCAATAATGAGATTGTTTACGTCTTAGTTTATAAATTAAAATTATATTAAACAAATTTGATTGATATTTAAACTTGATAAAACATCTCCAAAAATTGGCTAAAGTTCCTAAATGTAACTAGGGAGCGGGGCAGATCTGTACTTAATATAGCATACTTAAATATATTAAAAACAATAGGCCTGGCAGATGTTTAATTATAAAAACCAGAATATACTAGTAAATGGTTCAATCTTAGTATAATCATAATCACTGAACACAAAATACACAAGTTACAATATTGTGACAAAAACATAAAGTGGGACCAAGTAAACCAAGTCCTAACCGATATAAGCTGGGAAGATATACTAAGCAACACAGACCCAAACTTAAGCCTAGAACAGATTAACTCGGTGGCACTCGATGTATGCACAAGGCTTATTCCTCTAAGAAAAAGGAGGAGTAGATGTAAAATAGAAAGAGACAGGCGCTCCCTTTACAGGCGACGGAAAAGAATAACAGAGCGGCTAAAAGAGGTCAATATATCTGAAATGCGCAGGGAGACACTGGTCAGAGAAATAGCAAGCATCGAACTTAAGCTAAAAGAATCCTTTAGGAGTCAGAATCGCGGGAAGAACTAAAAGCCATAAATGAAATCGAAAGAAACCCAAAGTATTTCTTCTCCTATGCCAAACAAAATCGAGAACAACGTCCAGTATTGGGCCCCTACTTAAACAAGATGGTCCTACACAGATGACAACAAAGGAAATGAGTGAGCTACTCAAGTCCCAATATGACTCAGTTTTTAGCAAGCCGCTAACCAGACTGAGAGTCGAAGATCAAAAAGAATTTTATGAGAGAGCCACAAAATTGATTAACACAAGCCTATCCGATGTTATCCTGACCCCAAATGACTTCGACAGGCGATAAATGACATGCCCATGCACTCTGCCCCAGGGCCAGACTCAGGGAAAACTCTGTGTTCATCAAGAACTGCAAGAACCCCTATCACGGCCTTTTCCATCCTATGGAGAGGAGCATGGACACGGGGTCGTCCTCAGTTACTAAAAACAACAGACATAGCCACTCCACAAAGGGGGCGTAAAGCAACAGCAAAGAACTACAGACCAATAGCACTAACATCCCATACATAAAATCTTTGAAAGGGTCCTAAGAAGCAAGTCACCACCATCTAGAAACCCATCAGGTTACACACCCCAGGGCAACATGGGTTTAGAACAGGTCGCTCCCTGTCTGTCTCAACTACTGGACCCACTACGACAAGGTCCAAAATTTGCACTAGAAACAAAAAAAATGCAGATGAAATATATACAGACTTTGAAAAAGGGCCTTCGACAAGGGGACCATGGCTTAATACGCACAAAATGCGCGCTAAGGAATAACAGGAAAAGTCGGTCGATGGGTCTATAATTTCTCACTAACAGAACACAGAGATAGTCGTCAACAGAGTAAAGTCCGGGCAGCTACGGTGAAAAGCTCTGTTCCACAAGGCACGTACTAGCTCCCATCTTTTTCCTCACCCTCATATCCGACTAGAAAAGGATGTCAGCCACAGCACCGTGTCTTCCTTGCAGATGACACCCGAATCTGCATGACAGTGTCTTCCATTGCAGACACTGCAAGGCTCCAGGCGGACATAAACCCAAAAATCTTTCAGTGGGCTGCAGAAAACAATATGAATTTTCAACGATGAGAAATTTCAATACTCAATATGGAAAACATGAGAAATTAATCTTCATCAGAGAAACAAAACAAATTCGGGCCCACAAAATAGAGCGAAACACCAACGTCAAAGACCTGGGAGATGATTATGTCGGAGGATCTCACCTTCAAGGACCAAACATTGTATCAATCGCATCTGCTAGAAAAATGACAGGATGGATAATGAGAACCTTAAAAAACTAGGGGGCCAAGCCCATGATGACACTCTTCAGGCACTTGTTCTATCTAGGCTGGAATATTGCTGCACTCTAACAGCACCTTTCAAGGCAGGTAAAATTTGCCGACCTAGAAAATGTACAGAGAACTTTCAGGGCGCGCATAACGGAATAAAACACCTCAATTACTGGGAGCGCTTGAGGTTTCAAAACCCTGTATCCTGGAACGCAGGAGGGAGAGATACATGATTAAATACACCGGGAAAAAATCCTAGAGGACTAGTACCGAACTTGCACACGAAATCACTCACTACGAAAGCAAAAGACTTGGCAGACGATGCACCACCCCCCCAATGAAAAGCAGGGTGTCACTAGCACGTTAAGGACCATACAATAAGTGTCAGGGCCCGAGACTGTTCAACTGCCTCCCAGCAAAACATAAGGGGGATTACCAACCCCCCGGGCAGTCTTCAAGCTGGCACTGGACAAGCACCTAAAGTCAGTTCCTGATCAGCCGGGCTGTGGCTCGTACGTTGGTTTGCGTGCAGCCAGCAGCAACAGCCTGGTTGATCAGGCGCTGATCCACCAGGAGGCCTGGTCACAGACCGGGCCGCGGGGGCGTTGACCCCCGAAACTCTCTCCAGGTAAACTCCAGGTAAACACAATGATGTCAAGGATACAGTTCCACTTAGAAACCCAAATATTTAATTCTGTGCTAGGTTTGCCTGCAATTTAATTAGTGCAGCATACCTTATATACCAACCATACTATACACATCTAGGTTTATAGTTTATAAAGCATATGTCAAGCTGCAGCTTGTAATATAAACACGCCTTACATATCACACAAACCGAATAAGCCAGAAGAGATGATTAAATTATTTGTCATTAGTATTATATACAAGTTGCTTTTTACAACAAATTCAGAGGCCCTTCAAGGTAAATTAGCAAACAAGAAGTACAAATTTAAGTGTAAATGTGATTTACAAATTAAAATATATCGGCCAGGTGTTCCCACATGCAAGTTTTACACCTAATACCTTTATATATGAACATTACACCGCGCCAGTAGTCTTATATAATATACATAAAAAAAAACTTTTTACGAAAGTCTTATCCTTAAAAATTCTAAGTGTTTTAGATTCAAATCAGTAACATAAAACGTCCTCCATGAAAATTTGACATTACTCTTTGTCAAGATATATATATGTGTCCACAGCTCAACAATTAATTTATATCAACAGTTTTAGCACCCGCATCATTAGTATATTGATCTATATTAAGTTCTCGTTTCACTCTAGAAGATTAGGCTAGTGTAGTTCTAGACTTAAGAGAGGCTAGTGGCTCCCAGTCGCTCCTAGGTACGACTTAAGAGAGGCTAGTGGCTCACAGTCGCTCCTAGGTACGACCCTTTAAAAGAGGCTAGTGGCTCACAGTCGCTCCTAGGTAGGACTTAAGAGAGGCTAGTGGCTCACAGTCGCTCCTAGGTACGACTTAAGAGAGGCTAGTGGCTCCCAGTCGCTCCTAGGTACGACTTAAGAGAGGCTAATGGCTCCCAGTCGCTCCTAGGTACGACTTAAGAGAGGCTAGTGGCTCCCAGTCGCTCCTAGGTACGACTTAAGAGAGGCTAGTGGCTCCCAGTCGCTCCTAGGTACGACTTAAGAGAGGCTAATGGCTCCCAGTCGCTCCTAGGCACGACTTTAGGAGAGGCTAGTGGCTCCCAGTCGCTCCCAGGTACGACTTAAGAAGGGGGCTAATGGCTCCCAGTCGC